AGTTTGAAGACCCCTGTGTTAAGGTGTCTCATCTTTTTAGCTTGTCTCTAGTCTAGAGGAATTTGTGGATGCAGGTAAGGTTCGATATAAACATAATTCGATGCTGACTTCGGCGGGATTTCTGGTAGGTGATCAACTTTAATGCTGACCAAGGTATGAGAGGTGAGTGTCCACAAGTACATAACTCTTTCGGCCGAACTCAAAGTTCTGTTGGGGAAAATAGGAGGAGTATTTGGTATGTTTTGCTGCCTTGAGTTATATATAAAATATATAATAGTAGTAGTAGTAGTAGTAGTAGTGAGAAAATTGCTAAAAACAAATTTGAACAGTGGAAACACCATCAAAGTCATCAGTACCTGGGCCATACCTTCAGTATGATACACTGCAGGAGTATTAACTGAACACAAGCAGAACTGGACAGTTTAGACCAAAAAAACAAGAAAACCTATGAGTATTCACTATGCATTACATTCCTGTAGTGATATTAATAGATTATACCTGCCCTGCAGAAATGGAGGCAAAGGTTTACTTCTGGTCAAAGTTGAAGAAAAAATAGTGTGCATTGGTTGATCATATAAAAGACAGCTAAGAAGAAGTGCTGGTGTAAGATAAAAATCACAATGTATTAAATATACAGGAAATGTAACATGAATATTGAAAAAATGTAATAAAAACCCAAATAGAATGCTGGTATTACATGGTCAATTTCCATAAAAGGTGAAAAGGAAAGTGAATAAAAATAAAACCTTTCAAATGGAACATTAAAAGGGGGAGTGAATGCTTGATTTTGGCTGCTCAAAGTTAAGCTATTTGAACTAATGGAGTCAAGGCCAGAAGTTTAAAAAATTATCAAATGATTCAAAGTGCAGATGACGCAAAGAATAAGATAATAAGAGATAAGATAACCTTTATTGTCATTTTTTTTACTGTGGGCACAACGGCACACATCAAAAATGAAATTTAGTTGCCCGCTCTCAAAGTGAAACACATGACACACACCTAAAACACTATGTACAAATATGTATAGACCCACACCCCTACATATACATAGCAAATAAATATTAAATACTGTCCATATTGAATATATAATGGAAGGAGGAAGCTTGAGAGTTCACAAGGTTAATGCTGTATGGAATGAAATTATGGCTGAATCTGGATGTTCTGCTATGGATACCATGAAGCCTCCTACCAGAAGGTAACAAGGAAAACAGGTCGTGAAGAGGATGTGTAGTGTCCCAGATAATCTTACGGACCCTGCTCAAGCAACGCTTCTGTGCTATGTCCTGGATGGGAGGGAGGGAACTGCCAATGATCTTTTCAGCCATTCTCACCATTCTCTGTACCGCCTTCCTGTCTGAAACAGTGATGTTTCCAAACCAGACTGTGATGCTGTACGTTAGGATGCTCTTGATCGTCCCTCAACTCATGCAAAAAGATTGCACAAACTGATTAAAAACAGACACAACACAGTTGGAACATCTCTAAAAATTATTATGTGCCAGTAATGAAAAAATGGTGGGAACATATAATTGAAAATATAGTTGAAAATGAACAGATTAAAATATTTTGGGATTTCCAAATACAAATTAATAAAATCTTGACATATCTGATTTAACTGATTGAAAAGAAATTGTGGATAATTGATGTGGCAATACCAGGCAATAGTAGAATAGAAGACAAAAAATTGGAGAAAGTCACAAAATATCAAAATTTGAAAATCAAAATTGAAAGATTATTCCATAAACCAGCCATGATAGTCCCATTGGTTATTGGTGGGTGCCATAGCAAAAAGCCCTGGACAACACTTAAATCTGCATATTGACAAATTTTCCATCTGTCAGTTACAAAAAGCCACACTGCTTGCATCTGCACATATAATATGCCAATACATTATGACATTCTAGGCTCTTGGAAAGAAATCAATGTGAATGAAGGTCAGCACCAACTAAAGAACTGGAAGCTGTGATTTCACAAACTAGCGATCACAAAGTATCAAAATCTGAAAACTAAAGTTGAAAAATTATAACATAAACTGGCCATGGTGATCCCAGTCATTATCAGTGAGTGCCATACCAAAAAGGCTTGGACAACACTTAGAAAATCTGCATATTGATAGAATTTCCACCTATCAATTACAAAAAGCCACACTGGATCTGCTCATATAATGTGCCAAATTGTTATGACATCCTAGGTTCTTGGAAATAATTCAGTGTGAATGAAGGTCAACACCAGCTAAAGAACAGCTAAAGAACCAGTTGTGGTTTCACAAATTGGAGATCTCAAAAGTATCAAGATCTGAAAATCAAAATTGAAAGATTATGGCATAAATATAGTGATCCCAGTGGATATTGGCACATGGAGTGCCATGCAAAAAAATCTTGGATGACACTTAGAAAATCTGCCCATTGACAAAATTTCCATCTGTCAATTGCAAAAGGCCACACTGTTTGGATCCTCACATATACTAATCGATACATTACAGGATCCTAGGTTTGGGGAAGACTTCGATGTGTATGAAGACCAATATCAGCTAGAAAACTGGCAGCTGTGACATTGTGAACCGATCATATTTGAATATCATTAGTATTGACAAAACAATTAGCTACAAAAGACAGCTTTATTTGAATAACTTGCATCCCGCAATATACACTTAACACCATCTGCCTATCCCAGATCCTTGGGAAGGATTTGCTAGGTGGATAAACTGCCAAATCCAGTCTAAATACTTGGCTGACTGTGGGACCAATCATAATATAATAGAAAGGAACATCCTCCACCAGGGGTTTAGGCTGTAATGTCCCACTGAATGCAGTGCATAAGTTTAATTCTCACTCATGATTCTGCATAGTATTTTGGGACTGATTAGAAGGGTTTCACAGAAAAAAATGAGAAACTTGTAATTGAGGATTCAGTTACGGTAATTATTTGGAAACTCTTCCGATTTCATCACAGAAAAGTTGTGATCACTTCAAGCAACATGCCACACTATAACCTAATGCTTATAGACATAAGCAAGGCTAGGCAAGTACTTGTGATAATGTTGAACATTTATGTCATTGACAACTTACCTAAGTGGGGTTGGGTGGGTGCCTGTTTTGTTAATTTTCTATTTTTCTTAGGAACAGCAAATATAAGTATAGGACAGTGATGGCGAACCTTTTAGAGACCGAGTGCCCAAACTGCAACCCAAAACCCACTTATGCATCGTCGGGTGCCGGGTGGGTGTGGCCCATTGGCTGGGCGTGGCTGCAATGGTAATAGCAGACTGGGTGGGACTAAATAGTTCAATCAATCAATTCCCACTTTGCAAGATCTTTTTTTTTCCCCGTGAGAAGTTGAAATTGACTGATTGATTGAACCTTTTTTTTTTGTTGGCACACGGCGCGGAGGCCTAAAGTGAAAAGGTTTTATAAAACCCACCTAAAGGCCTAGGACTGGGGCGAGGGTGCACGTGCCCACATAGAGGGCTCTGCGTGCCGCCTCTGGCACCCATGCCATAGGTTCGCCACCACTGGTATAGGACATACAAGTTTCACCTTCTTAGAGAATTCTACTCAGCACTTTCACAATCTTACTAAGCATTTTCATTTATCAAAATCATTGTTTAAAATTGCTTCTAAATAAACAAACATTCTCAAGATAGAAAAACTGCACTCATTATGTTTAGATAGTGTGATGAGACTGTACTTAGCCTAACTACTCTAAGTTTTGTCAAAACACGCTGACCTATGTGGCACAAATGATTCACAGTTGATTTTCACAATGAGGCAAACTGCCCAATTATAAGTTAGTAATTTTTACCACTCAATATGTGTGTTTTAAGGGAGGCCCAGCCACAAAACATTGTTTTCCAAGATAGGTCATGTCTAATTTCATCTGATATCTAATTTCTTCCGGGCCTAATTCTGGACCGAGTTAAAGCTAAAACAAGTTATTTGGAAAAGAATAATATATAACATGCCCTCTTAATCCATACTGCACCAAGTGGTATTTGCAGAACCAACATTTCAGCATCTGAAACCTACGGTACTAAGAAGCCCAATAACAACATATTCTTGGGCACTGTGCATCATAGGAAAAACGTAGGAATATTTTGAATTACCACATCTGAGCCCTATATTTTTTCTCCATCACTAATCTTTATATTAGAATGGTATTCCCTTAAGCTTTCAGAGCAGACAAATGTAGTTTTATGTTATGCATCCGTATATGGGGTTTTACATAACTTTCACACAAACACCCCAGGCGGGCCATAAGAATTTCTCTATTTGACATAGTGTGGCATTCTCAATTACACTGATCATCAATACGCAGGCACTGTATGACCACTTTTATCCTATTTGGGACTCTTCAGAGAAGGGCAGCTATATATTATTCTATGGGCTTCAAACCCTCTGGGAATTGAACTCACAGACCTTTACACTTTATATGATACAGTACTGCATATACAATGCATTAACTTTAATAATTACCCAAGTCCTGATACACAGTGGTTGCAGGAAAGAATACATATATATAATCTATTTGAATGGTAAACTGTCCACCTTCTCTTAAGCTGTTACATTACATCATGACCCTGCATACCGGGTTTTATGTGACATATTGTTGATGCTATAAAAATATCCAAGTAGCATAATTTCAATGAATTTTAGTTAACTGGATGCAATGTAAAAATGCTTTATCAGATATTACAACCAGGTCCAGAGGTTTAACTATAGTAGAATGCATACAATTCAAGCTTTGATGAAGTTCCATTTTCATTTTTTGTTTTGCTTTTCAGACAATCCGAGTTTCTTTGGACACTGGAATTTGCTTATTCCAGATCCAAATGCTCTTCTCCCCATATGGATTTTGCTTCTATAAGAAGAGTTTTATTGTATCATAACCAAAACCAAACAATTCAACAGAAGCTTGGCTATTTTTAATGTGAGAAGAGAAGAAAGAAAAATACCCCAAGATTTGGGAATTCCTTTATTGAAAAAATAAAAAGCTGTTTTGGAATCACTTAAAAAATACAGTATAAAAGAAAATTTAGAATTACCAACACATTAAAAATAGGACATTATACACTATGTTTTAGAATAATCCATATGTACATAAGTCATGTTGAGGGTAGATGTTTTCCTGGTTATTTTGTGAGGATTCTTCAGGAAAATGACATGAATGTTGCTGAGGTCATTGTTCAAAATTAATAATTGCAAAATGAGAAACAAGATATATGTTTACAAAACTTGGTATCCGGTCCAATCTAGATCACAAACATATATGTAAACTGCCTACACAGTCACACCATCAGAAGCAGTTTATGTCATCTATTGAATTGGACAATGAACCACAATAAAGAATGTTTCATTTCTTTTTGGATGGACTATCCCAAGCACGTCTCTGAGAAATCCCCAAATAGTCAGTCTCATATATACCTATTGCAGCTATAGTATGGCCTCCTGTAGGAGATAATAACACTCCCTTACCAACTTCATTGGGGCAACTTTGTTTCGTACAACAGATTATACTATCTGCCATAAAAACTGGATTTCACATGGAAAAAAAGTTAAAGAGATACAGTCTTAGTTTACATGGGCTGCTTTGAAGAGCTCCACAAGTTCCTTGTAATCTGGGTCAATAAGGTCAGATGGCTTCTCTCCTTCATTGTTGGTGGCATCACACTGGGCCCCAAGAGAGATGAGGTACCTGGAAGATCAGAAAAGACAAAATCATGAAATGCAGCAGAGGTTGAAACAGTCTGGATTAACCTATATCTGTTTAAAAATGGTCCATTTAAGTAGTTCATTGTATAATATGGTTTAAGTATCTTTTAGTCACTTTTAATAATTACAATAAGAATTTGCATTATAATCATCTCTATTCTCAAATTTCATTAAGGCAGGTTCACCTCTTTATACTATTCACACCTGGAGAATGCAGTGGTACACAAAAACCTAGAGCTATTTCTGCTGTAGCAGAAGAATTAGAATTGCAGCCCAAATCAAATAAATTGGTTTTCCCACGAGCATTGTCCGACTGACATATACCAATATTTAAGGCGATATAGAGGACTTTATGACGTTACAAAGTGTCTCAAAAGATATTTTTGTTTCCACAAAGACAACCACCTTTTAAATAACATACAAGGATTCCATTTAAATGTTTTTTGCTTGGCATTTCAGCAATACCACAGTTAGTTAATCTGCCAATAAATACTCTCAGCACTGCTGGTGTCAGGATGAGAGCACCGTAGATAAGAGAGGATTCATCCATCTCTTGGAATAAGCCAAGAGACACTTATTTCTTGTCACTTTAAAGTTCACTACCCAGTAATTCAGTAGTGAATCACTTTCCCCTTCTTATTTTCCTTGGCCATATAATTCCCGATTGAGTGGCACAGCTGGCTAAGAGGGAATGAGGTAAACAGACTAGCATCGCTGACCTTGCAATGTCAGCATGGCCATCGCTACAGGCCACATGCAGAGGTGTCCAGCCTTCATCATCTTTCTGATTTATGTCAGCGCCGTATTTTATCAAGAGCTTGACGCAATCAAGGTTTCCAGCAAGCACAGCTTCATGGATGGCAGCCATTCCTAATTGAAAAAGATGATATATCAAACTCTAGTCTGTGAACCCTTCAGATGGGTTCTATAAACTGAGTGGGATCCTCCCACATTTTTCATCTTAGCACAAGAAAAGTCTTTCAAATAAAGAAAGATAACTAAAACTGTTCAGTTAACATGCATCCACATAAATCTGTTAATATTTTTAAGATTGTTCACTTGAGGCAAAAAGGAAATAGAAGTTCAGTCAAGGTTCCTGGGTATGTTTTCTAAGCTTCTTTGGGAACTATTTGATTTACAAAAATAATTAATGAAGACCAGTCTCCTTAACAGCAAAATTATCCCTAAAGTGACTCCTATAATCCTACAATGCTGGGCTAAAATAACCTATGTTTCTCCAAGTTGGCACCTTCCACATGAATCAGGGCTGCAGCCCATGGCATTTGTAGCATGGCTAAAACCTACTGGGAAATTCTGGCACTTACAATCCCAGCAAAACTTAAAATGTGCCTAACTAGGAAGATTAAACTAAATAATACCTTTCAGAAAGATTAAGCTCATCCTATCGTAATTTGATTTGGGATTTTGCAACCTGTATTTGTCATCATTTCTATGCTTTTCACACTCTTGCTCTTGCCATTTTTTCTTGTACAGCTTTCCAGGCCCTGAAATAATAACCAGTGGTAATGCCTCAAAGACACACTACATTAACCTTAGAGTTGGGCATAACCCTTCAAGGTATTTCTGAGAAGCAGGTACTATTTTATTTCTCATCTTAGTTTTGTTGTTGTTGTTTGCTATACTGAATCAAAATACTTTGTACTTTAAGGAAATAAGTCGATGAGAGTACTGTAAGTGTTTATAGAATGTTAGGTTTATACCCTTCTTGAATGATTCTACTAAAATAATGTGGGCGATATGGCAACTGAGAGACAGGAAGGAAGCTCCCTGTTGTTTCCTTAAATCCCACTGAAAATGCAGGCTAACATGCAACCCATATTTTCCCCTGGGATCAAACAGCTTCTTACTCAGCCACCCTCCAATCAGTCTTCCTCTCTCCCACATACCAGAGGGGTAGATGGTATCCAAGGTGACTTTCCTGGCCCGAATGAAACGTCCCACTTGCTCCAAGTCACCTTGTCGAATGTGGTCCTGGAAGACGACGTCATTGGGGAAACGCACAGTCTTGAGGTGCCTTGCATATCGCCTGTACCTAGGAAGTGAGCCTGGGTAGTAGTATTTCATGGTCACAGAGGGCAAAGGAAGCCCAACAGACAGACGAGGTAAGGAAAATGACCAGACTTAGAAAGTAGCAGAGGCCACAGCTACCCCACAAACGTTGAGGTGCCAAACTGCAATAACGTGTCTTGAGATCCAAAGGAGTATCTCCTCCCAAAATCTTGCAATGAAAATGTGAAGAGGTACCCAGCAAATGATTTTGTTCCTTTCAAGGTTTTTCTTGGACAGCACAACACGTGGGTGAAGATCTGTAGAGGACTGATGGTTTCCTGCAGAGTTTCTTGTTATATAGCCTCCCTATGGCTATTTTGAGGGCACTCAGCTCATACTTGTTGCCATGAGATCTTGTAATTGAGATGCCTTGTCCGCAGCTTCCCCCTTTTGAACATAAATTAGAATCTCAGCTTACAGCCCACCTGTCCATGACTGGTAGTCAGCAGGTCCAGCTCGGACTGCAATCTACAAGCAGCAGCCTCAGATTTTGCAAGCCACCATTTGCAATACTCTACATTAACTTTCTGGAATTTGTTGGCAGCCATTTATACTTTTCCCAAAACTAGTTCACGGCTATCATTAAGAGGAAAAGATTCAAAAACAACAATTATAGAAGTGAAAAGCTTTTAGAGTGAATAATTTTATGACGTGAATAGCAAACAATATTTTGCTATCTTTAAGACAGCTAGGCATTTTCTTAGAATTCATGCTTTTAATTTGCTGCTTGTAATTTGGAGATCCAAAAATATTTGCAAAAGATACGGATAGAACTGGCTAAGGGGAAGAAACCAAGGAATCATCCTTGTTCATTTCTGTTATCATTTCTTCAACTGTTAAGTGCTGCCAACATTATAAATTCTGTACAGCCATGTGAATTCAGAAATCGTCTCTGTATATGAATGGAAATGAACTTTATCCAATTTAAGCACATTTATACACATCTTGTATGAAATAAGAAGGGAAATGATACCTATTTTGGGGGATCTGGGATCTGCAACAGGAAGAGAGAATATGAAAGACCATAGGCATTTTAGGATTTTTATCCCATTCACTCGCTTTGATAACTATAGCCACTTAACTGGAAGAGTAACTGAATCTAAGTTCCACCATATGACTGCAAGTTTTGAGAGTTGCAAGGTATTCATTTTGAGGAAGAATTGAAACTGGAAATAATGGCCAGCTGCCTGTTCCACACAGAGGGTGCCTGGTTGCAAAATTTGACTTGGGGAAGTTGTGTTGCCAAAACAGAGCATCAAGAATAAAAGAAAAGTCCTCAAATGTTGGTGAGCAATAGGAGAATCCATGTAAATTCACGGAAGCTTCCGCTAAGTGGGTTCTTTGACCAGAGTTTCCAAAAAGACGTGAAGAGAAATTCTAATGGTAGTTGCTTCCCCAGCTAGTGATGTATTTTTCTTGTCTACCTAAAATCTCATGCACCACCTGAGCTATAACATGTATGATCCACACCAAAGATTCTATTGATCTTGTTACATATCCAGTAGAGTTCTAAGCAAGGGCCTTGTATTTGCAACTCTGGAGATATTTCAGACACTGATAACAGCCATATTCAAGAATAGAATGCAGTATATTTGTTTTTTGCATTGGTATTTTTAGTGTATTCAAGGAGTTAAAATTTTGGATTACTAATTTTACTACTTTGATTCAGAAGAAAATTATATTTTTAAAAATAAATTCAGAATGGCTCAAAATCAAGTTTAGCTAGCCAAATAAACAGAGGTTTTCAGAATACTGAAATAATACAACCACTTCTTGATTTTATATGATTACATTTTGAAAGCAACTAAACTAGTTTTTAGTTATATTTTCCACTGAAAGTTCTAATCTGCACATCCAATTTTAAAATTGCATAACAGTGCCATTCATTTCAGCTTCTTTTTATAGAACTGAATCTCTGTAAACATCAAAATCACATTCAGCTCCTGGAGTCTTTGTTGGTATTTTTATATCAGACTGTTAAATCTAGAAGTAATCAATGAAGAATAATCTTACAATTCCCACTGACATATCTTCTTACTTTTAACTGTTGAACACCATCCGCAACTCAGCACCCCTTCAGCAGAGATACTTGATGAGATGCACATTAGCTTTCATTCTTCTCTTGAAAAAACCTCTGTAAAAGGAAACTGTGTCATCAGCTTTTCTCAGGGTATCTCAGCTGGCCCTATAGAGTAAACAAGTGCAGCAACAAGAGACTCTAATACTTCCCACAGCTTTCAACTGTGAAGAAATATGGCATCTGTTCTAACGTTTGATACCACTATCAAGTGCTAGACTATTAAAATTAGAAAGTGCTGCTGGGCCGCAGATTGCCTTCCCATCCTGGTTCCAGAAAGATGCTTGGACTGATAGTGACTATTCAAATGAGTTCTAGTCTTAAACATCTGGAGGCTAGGGACATTTCACCTGTTATCTCAAGTTAAAAACCTGGGCATCCACAACACACAAGGCAGGAAATGGACCTGTAGGTTTTTAGCAAAAGGTAAACAATCCCTCACCTGTGTGTGATACAAGCAATGGGAAAGGAAGACTGAAACATCTGAAGAGAAAGCAAGTGACTTACTCCTGCTGCAATTACTCCTGAAGCATAACTCTCCTCAGTCCCAACCATCACATCCAATTAAAAGAGTTGCTAAGTTAAAGTTCAGCAATATTAGGAGGGCCATACGTTCCCCACCCTTAGTTCTTTTTCAAAGACTTCTTTCTCAGGACCCATACTACCAAACCATCAAGAGTCACAGGTTGTCCAGCTGTAGGTATGAGAAGATGATCTGCACAATTAGGTACTGTCTGGCCCTTACCGCTAAACATCATAGACCCACAGGAAAAAAACTGCTCTCTCCTATAATCTTCATAGAAGGAAAAGTGAACGTAAACAGCCATGCAACCACCAGGAATCTTTCCACCTTACATACTTATATAAGCAAGAAAGTTACAGCTTAGATCAGTGGTTCTCAACCTTTTAATTTGCCGCGACCCCAACCGGTCGTAAGTCGAGGACTAAACCGGTCGTAGGTTGAGGACTAAACCGGTCATAAGTTGAGGACTAAACCGGTCGTAAGTCGAGGACTACCCAACCGGTCGTACGTCGAGGACTTTCCCTGCCCGGGAGTGCCGCGCATGTTGTGGTTCCGCCCCCTGCGCCGGCCGAGGCGTAGCTGGCAAGCAGCAGAGACGGAGCAGGCCGACCACCAGCTGGCCCAGCCCAAGGGAGGTAAGGCACCCGCTGGAAAAGTGGGAAAAATATGGCGGACAAAAAATATGGCGGACAAAAAATATGGCGGACAGCCTTGCTTGGCGACCCCCATGAAATGGTCGATCGACCCCAAATGGGGTCCCGACCCACAGGTTGAGAACCACTGGCTTAGATCCATGTAAAAAATTATGAAGGTTCCATGGTTGCCGGGAGAGGCATGTAAGTATCAAAACAGCATACTGTATATGCATAATGCAGGGTTATTGCTGTGGAAATTCTAAGAAGTTTATATGTACAGGCGTGAATAGTTTTGATAGTAAAATGCTATTTAAAATAAACTAGGCAACAAAAACTGCTTCAGAAATTGCCTGACATCTTCCTCTTCTGCCACAACGGAAAATAAATTGTCAGCAAGCTCTCCTGCTCTTCAACACGCAGCAGCTTGTTTTTCTGGGCTACAAGTAATGAGGCATGTTCATTCTCATCATATGATAGAATGACATAATTGCTTACAAAAATATTGTTCAATTGAGGTAGCCAACCGTCCAGACCTCATCCATCAAGCAGGTAATAGTGACACATGACATACTTCTCTAGACGTTTCTTTGAATTAGAAGGAATTCAAAGCTTGATGACCTTTTGAAACAATTTGTACTTTGGTGATCCTAAACATAATAGCTCTACACTTTGGGATGGCAAGGATTTCTCTCTCTGACACACACAGAGATGTCCTTTAAGTCAGGGCTTTTCAACCTTTTCACCCATTGTATCACTTTTAGGATATGGCAACAACATCCGAGTACCACCAGTCGCCTAGCAAGGTGTCAAAAATTTGATGACCCCCCCCCCAAAAAAGCAAAAAAGTGATAAAGTACAGGTAGTCCTTGACTTACAACAGTTCGCTTAGTGACTGTTCAAAGTTACAATAGCACTGAAAAAAGTGCCCCCCAAGGCACAGCCGAGCAAGACACCTGCCTGCGGCACTCTTCCTCCTGTCCGAGGTTTTCATTGTTGTGAGCATTTCTGTTGAGGATTGGCAGTGGGGGTGGGGGGTGTTTGGTTTTTATTCCCCCCATCTGCTGGGTGGTTGCAGCAGGTTTTCGTCACTTCACATGACCCTGGGACACTGTGACTGTCATAAATATGAATCAGTTGCCAAGCATCTGAATGTAAATCACAAGACCCTGGAGAGGCTGCAACATTCCAGCTGATCGGTGCTTCTTCTGGGCTCAGCAGAAGCACCAGGATCAGTGCCGAGCTCCAGCTGGATCCTGGCGCTGATCCTGGTGCTTCCGCTGAGCCCTGACAGCCCTGCAGCTCCAGCCATCTCTCACTCAGGCTTGTGCAGTGCTGCCACTGGTTCAGCTCATTCCCCTCCCCTGCTACCACTTTTCTAGGATGGTCGCATACCACCTGCCAGGTGCCAATGTACCACAGGTGGTACCCGTACCACTGGTTGAAAAGCCCTGCTTTAAGTGATACTTAGAATAAAGCTAAAATTGTATCTGAAGTACCTTATCACAAATTTTGAAATAAAGATGCTGGGATAATGTACAGGATTAAACAATCTACTCTGATTCAAAAAACACAGACAAAAATATAGGCTGCAGCCAATTGAAAAAGTTTCCAAATACACTGGAGTTCAAAATTCTATCCAAGAAAGATCTATATATGCTAGATTCAAGCCAAGCACTCCAAGATCCTATTTCAAATGTGAACATGGGATTTTTTCCCTCCCATTAACAACCAGTTTCAAATCTAAGAAATAAAAGCAAATCATTATATTTCAAGCGAGGGCTATGAATACGTGAAAGCCAGAGGATACAGAATGATCCTTAAGACTATGTACTCCTGCCCTAGTTTGATGGAGTCCTTCAAACCACTATTGCATGCCACTAGTTACAGCAAAGTACCATAGCTGAGGAATACCAAATAGATCCACATATTTTTAAAAAAAGTTACATGCTTTTATAAATCTAAAATCTCAATGGCATTTTGCTGATTACATTTTTTTCCCAGCTCATAATTTTGCGCTACCCAGTTTGA